AATATTTTGAATAATACACAAGTTACCCGTACTTCGATACATCTATACAAATAAATAAAATTGAAGTGTCTGTTTGTAATATCAAAATAATAGGTTTTTTTCATGCTACACGGTTTTTTGCACGCCTAAAACCGGTTTAAATATTTTCTTTCTGTTTGTTCGTTTTTCAAAACGGCTGGACCGATTTTGATAATATTTTACTACCAGCAGTACATAAGCATACATAAGCAATTTTTCCTCACAGAAAAACAATGCATTAATAAATCAATAATTGGCATGCTCGTCCATCTACATGTAATATTTATTTAAAAAATAGGATCATTTGTTGCGGGCTAATAACAGACTTTCATTATTATTGGCATCTAATTTATGGTGTTATATTTTAAAAACAAAGATGACAGGAATCTCTGAGCCAGTGCAGATAGTTCTTTATTTGTAGTGGTTTAAGGGTTACTTATTATATTTCTTACTAGGTTTCGCACGCGCTCTCCTCCTCATGTATGACGGTTATCGCGGTGAAAAGTATAGGCTACTTTTCACCTGCACCAGGGCCTTCCTTTCTAGGGTATACCTGGTTCCCCGGCTATTAGTACCCGGCGAAGGCGTGCGGTTTTAGTCGGTTCGTGTCCGACATGCCACCGACAGGTGGTATCCGAGGGGATTTTTAAAATCTGTTAAGTGGTTTAGGCGTAAAAGCGCTAAACTCACTTCCACATTAATTTCATAAGTATGGAAGTAAGGATTGGTCAAACTTTTTAAAATCGGTTTAGTGGGTTAGCCGTGAAAGCATAACAAACAAACAAACTCACTTTCACATTTATAATATAAGTAAAGAAGTATAGATTACTAGCTTTTGCCTAATTATTAATTAATGCACATATTTAAAAAAAACATCTATACGAGGGCTGCTATTTATGTATCCGGAAGTGGCCAGTTACAGAGCAATATTAAAAAAGTAATTATAACATTAAAAATGGAACTCTTTGGCTAAAGAATACAATTTGTTTCATGTGGCTGTCATTTGATTATCCTTTGTGGCGGCATTTTGCAAATTGCGTGTCTTATCACTATGGATTTAACTCGTGAAAATTTTCATGCTATGATTTATTACGATTTTCGGCGAGGCTTAACTCCAAAACAGTGGATCGATCAAATCACTTTGACTTTTGGGGATGAAACACCATCAAAAACAACTGTGTATCACTGGTTTAGTGAGTTTAATCGAGGGTGGTCTGTGCTCACGGACGAATTTAAACGTCTCCTAAATCGGTTTTTGTACCTCAAAATACATTCAGTCAAAAAGTACCGGGAATGGATGATTTGTTTATGGTTCCAAATTCAAAATTTTGTCTTTTTTTTGTTGTTGTTAGATTGGCACAACTGTTTTCCATTTTGGCGCGGCGTTTGAGTTGTATCTGTCATTTATATTAAATACAGTTAGTTATATCAAATCTACTGTGTATTGCGAATTTCATAATGGACAAAAACATCGAACAAAGAGTTTGTCTTCTGTCTGTCTCACGAGTCGATACGTACCATTTTAACTATTGATTTGGGTATGAAACATGGTACCGCTCGGCTAGTCCCAAAAGACCTGAATTTTCTACAAAAACTAAATCGCATGAGAGTCGCTGAGGACATGCTGGAACGAGTCAATTCCGACCCAACATTCATGAAACGCATTGTTACTGGTGACGAGGCGTGGGTTTACGAGTTTGACATGCAAACTAATCAACAAGCTTCGGAGTGGCGCCTTCGAACTGAACCGAAACCGAAAAAACCACGCCAAAGTCGATCAAAAGTCAAAGTCATGTTGACTGTTTTCTTTGACTGTCGCGGTGTTGTGCACTCGGAATTCTTGCCGGAAGGTCACACGGTAAATAAAGAATATTATTTGAGCGTTATGCGGCATTTAAGAGAGCAAATTCGACGAAAAAGGCAAGATTTGTGGAAAAAAAATTTTGGACTATGCACCACGATAATGCGCCTTCGCACAAGGCCATCGTTGTGAAGGAATTTTTGACCAAACACTCAACAAATACCACCAAGCAACCACTATATTCACCAGATATGGCTCCAGCCGACTTCTTTCTTTTTTCTAAACTCAAATTACCACTTCGTGGCACCCGTTTTCAATCGGTAGAAGACATAAAGGAGAATTCGCGGCGGGAACTGAACTCAATTTTGGAAACAGCGTTTAAAAAATGTTTTGATGATTGGATTATTGGTTGGCGTAACTGTATCGTTTCTGAAGGAGCATACATAAATAAATAAAATAAATTTGGATGAATAACAAACATTTTGTGTATAATTGATCTTTTCCCGGTACTTTCTTGACAGAGTAGTATTGTTGCTGTGCGGGAACTATTAATGCAAGATCGTCATGTTATGCTACACATCGCGAGATAGAGGCGTCTCTGGGAATAAGTATGATGAGTATTTATAAAATATTACACGTACATTGAGCTTTAAAAAAACTTGTTCAGGATGGAATCCGCACAACTTGAGAAGTGGCTAAACATGGGCTCGTGTCGATTGGTGTAAAAAAAAATGTTACATAAATACAATCAAGGTGCGTCAAGAGCTGTCTATAATATCTACACAAGTGATGAATCTTGGATATATGCGTATGATCCTGAAACTAAACAACAATCAACGGTTTGGGTATTCCAAGATGAATCAAACCCAACAAAAGTGATTTGTTCAAAAAGCACTTTGAAGCAAATGGTCGCTTGTTTTTTGCTATAAATGGACATGAGGCTACAGTGCCACTAGAGGATCGTAAAACGGTTAATTCTGAATGGTACACGACCATTGGCACGCCCTGCACGGATGACGTAGTGGTTTAAGCGGTCGCCACGCCGCTTCCTACTGCGCCGGGTGGGTTCAAATCCCACATGGGACGACACTTTGTGTGAGCCACAAATTCTTGTTCTGAGTCTGGGTGTTCTTTGCGTCCGTTTCATGTATGTTTGTAAAGTCCCCCGCGACTCAGCAATATATTCCTAATGCTCGGGAGTTGTCTTTTAAATGATTTTTTTGCCAGAAGGCTTTGAAGAAAGAATAACCAACAACGCAGAATCCTTCTACATCATGACAATGCTAGTTGCCACACATCGGCCGAAACAACTCAGTATTTGGAAGATAAAAAGATCGAACTCCGCCGTACAGCCCTGACTTGGCCCCCATCGACTTCTATTTATTCCCAACCGTGAAGAATAATTTACGTGGTCAACGTTTCTCGAGCCGTGAAGAGGGTGTTGATGCGTTCAAAATGCACGTTTTGGAGATCCCACAATCAGAATGGAAAAAGTGCTACGAAAATTGGTTCCAACGTATGCAAAAGTGCATCGATCATCAATATTTTGAAAAGCAATAAATCTATAATAAATGCTATATGTTTGTTTCACTTTGTTATTCCGGATACATAAATAGCAGCCCTCGTATAATAGGGGTTAAAGTATGAAATTGCCGTTGTATAGTAATAGATACTTTGAATTGCTATAAACGTTAATGGTTTGAGATTTTCGCGTGAAACTTATTTTACATGATACACCTATGAGGTTCTTCTTTTAAAAATGTTCTACAGTCGATTTTCGACTTTCAATTGTTTTTTTTTATTACTTAGACCTTAAAAATGGATACTTCGAAAATCCGAGTCATTTTCGAATACGAATTCCGACGCGGAACTAACGCGGCAGAAACGATTCGTAATTGAGTTGGAGAGGAGGATGAACGCTGGGTTTCCAGAGGAGACTGCTAATGAACGCACCGTGCGTTTTTGGTTTAAACGCTTTCGTAATGGAAACTTCGACTTGAAGAACGAACCACGTGAAAGACCGCCCACATAGATGAATAACGCTGAATTGGTGGAAGAGGTGGTGTCGATCGAGTCAAACTACCCAGGAATTAGCGGCATGGTTTAATGTTACCCTTCCTACAATATTAACTCATTTGCATCAAATCAATAAGATAAAAAAATAAGAAAACGGGTGCAGAAAGAAATGCGTGTGCCGAACTTCGAACAATGATGGCGAACTGGCACTAAAACAGCCCCGAATCGTGAATCGATCTTCACCATTATTGCACCGCACCAGAAACCGTTGTAACTCTACAGGAGCTTTAGTTAGAAACCATACGTCATCCACCGTCAGTCTTGCTCCAGCGGACTACAATTTTTTCGTGATTTGGACAATTTTCTACGTGATAAAAAAAAATCCGAGGAGGCCTTACAAAATGCTTTTACACAGTTTGTCCATCCCCAGAGTTTTATTGTAAAGGCATAAATGAACTTCCGTTTAGATGGCAGCAATGTACAGATAATGAGGGTAAATATTTTGATTTAATAAATATGTTACATCTTGGAAAAAACACGAGTTTCAATTTTTCAGTACAAATCGGCAATTTCTTACGTTAACCCCTAATATTTATAAATGTTGAGTTGGTTTTGTTCAAGTTTCAAAAATTCAAAAAGTTCTGCACCGATTGGGCTCAAATTTTGACACAATATACAAAAAACAACAACAAACGCCGCAGGACAACTTTGCAAAGAGAAGGAAAACTTGACACAAACCCTATACCAACCCGTCTGGCCAATGTAATGTCGTAGGCCAAAACCTCCTTTCTAAGGAGTGGCCGATGTCCAGCAGTGGGCAGTCAATGACAACCCGTTTCAATGATTATTTTTATCTGTTTTTCGCATCAGGTTTATAGCAGTGGGCAGTCAATGACTACCCGTTTCAAATATTATTTTTATCTGTTTTTCGCATCAGGTTTATACTTCATTTCTCATCAATGCAACCACAATGTGCCACAGATAAGCGTGGCAGGGTACAACTAGTAGAATATAAATCGCCTATAAAACGTAATAGGAATGCTCCTATATTAGGTATTTTATATCTCTAAGGTAACAATACAAAGAATAAATACTTTAAAAAATCCATGGCCTAAGAAACTTTTGATCGCGTCCTCCCGAAGCAATACCAAGAAAATCAACTAACCTGCATCTGCACCGACTGGCAGTTAACAAACTCGATGCTGGAGACGAGATTGTCGAACACCACAGCGCACTTGGTGCAGGAGTCGAGCACGACTCCATTGATCTTGCCGCGCACCGTCAGGGCCGAGTCGCGGCACCGGAACATGTACACTACATTGTTCATGTCTGCGTTCTCCACTACGAGGTTTGAGTTCCCTTTTTGGTACTCCTATGAGGACAATCAATCAATAAATAATTTCTAAATCAATATACTCTAATGCAGTTATTAGGAATTATGGATAACGTCAATTCTAACATTGTAAACTAATTGGTAATTTAATTTTAAATTTATCGACGACACGCTTACTAGAATAAATTTGTTTCAATGATTTTATTATATTAAAAAATATAACAGAAAATCAGTGAATTGAAATCATTACGAAAAAATCGCCTTCTTAAATGATACTAACTAAAAAACAGGTTGAAAAAATTGGGCTATAAGTGTATTTTTTTTGTCTTTTTAGAACACTTATTTAAATTGAAAATATACATAAATTATTGTAAAACCAAACCAAAACCTCCTTTCTCAGGAGAGGCTTATGTCCAGCAGTGGACTATTAAAGGCTGTTGATGATGATGACATAAATTATTGTAGTACTGTATTGTATTTTTCATGGATACGATAATTAAGGCATTTTTGACAAATTACAAACAAAATAAATGTTGTGTTACTACAGATTTTTATCTCCTCAGCATCAGTAGCACTTTAATTAGCTTCGAAATATAATACTAATTAAAAAATCAAAATTGATCTACTGATTTTCATCGCTGACGCAAATATATATTTTTAAAAGCACTTACAATAAGCCACTTTTTGCCGTCACGTGCAAAGACGGGCGGCTTGTCAGGCAGAGTTCCAGCGCCGGGCTGCGGCAGCTTCTTGCTGGGCACTGTCGACGCCGCGGGAGCCTTGAAAGGTGCCGGGCCGGTGCGCAGCCCGGGGTTCTTATGTGTCTGCATGTCCGGGGTCACCTTACGGAGACCTACACAACAGATAGTATTTAGATAGGCATTAAGAAATTAATAAAAAATATTTTGATAACCGATGTCAAGATACTTACTACCAGTAATTCCCTCGCCTTGGTTAATTTGTGCGAATAGCGCGCTACGATCATCAACCGACAGATTCTGGAAATCGCCCTCGGGCATAACCGGTGGTGGTGGTGGCATGCCGCCAGGGGGTGGTGGAGGAGGTGCACCAGCACCAGTACCTATGCAACAAAAGAGAATAAAAATAAATATGCAAGATTTTATAATTGGGGCCTGTAAATCATTGCTACTCCAATGCAAACATTTTGGATAATTGACTCGGCTAGAATGTAAGATCAGGAGGAATCTAGATAGATAGATAGATAAATACTTTATTTGTACACCAGGGTTTTACAGACATTATAACAATAGATGTAATGTACAAAGGGCGGCCTTGTCGCTTAGTGCAATTTCTTCCAGGCAACCTTTGGATGGATAAATTTTTAACTGGTGATAGGTATACAGAAAATAGAGAAATAAATAAGGTCTTAACCTATGAAATATTTATTATACATAAATCCTACTAATCTATATTTATACATAAATACTATACATACATACGTTAATATATACATACGCTAATTTTCAACTATTAGAGACAGATAATGCTCATATAGCATAGTATTGAAGGTGGTTACGGATTGCTCACGTCTGATAGTAACCGGCTAGGCATTCCATAAACGAACAGCTTCTACGGAAAATGATTTTGTGTGGAAATTGGTAGAATGTCTTGGTATTTCCAATCTCAGGCTTTCAGAGCACCTCAGACATTTCATATGTGTGTCATGAAGGAACTTAAAGTGTTCTTTGAGGTAAATAGGAGTTAATGGATTAAACAGTATATTATACAGAAGCGTAAGGATATGAGTATTCCGGCGAAGGCGGATTGGAAGCCATTTGAGCCTTTTACGGTAGTGGAAAACATGATCATATTTGCGAAGTCCAAATATGGATACAACAAAAATTTTGGAGACGCTTAAGTTTTCAAGAAGAAAATTTCGTAACGATCCCGCTTTGTGGCTCACCTCCTGAATCTGAGGTCCCCATGATAAGCTGCTATCAATTATAACTCCCAAGTTTTTAACTTTGCTGCTGATCGGCATGATAGTATTGTTAAATTGAACCGGAGGCAAATGTGACCAATTAATTTTAGCAGACATTATGGGACTCCCAATGATGCATACCTGTGATTTTGTAGGATTAATTTTGAGTCCATAGTTACTCCAAGCACTTATGTGCTCTAGATCTGAATTAATAATATTAAGCGCAGGCGATAACACTGACAGGTGCATGGGTGTATATCTGCAAATCATCAGCGTACAGGTGGTAGGATGAAAGTAAATGATTGGAAATAAAATTAATAAAAATTGCGAAGAGTAATGGAGATAGAACGCGACCCTGTCTATGCATGACAATCTAATTAAGAAATATCATCTTAGTTTTAATAAAAAGGCTAGCAGCGTTTTCTCATACATAAAACTTTTTTAATAAGGATATATTAATGTTATGACGTCAAACAATTCAACTACATTAACAAGTTGCTCCGTAAAATTACATCTCGCACATATTGCGTGAAGCCTCTGATTTAAACATGAACCCAAGCAGCTGTATAATGTATGCAGCCAGACTAGTAGCGCGACACTGAGCGGCAGTATCAGGCATAATTAAAATTATTAAGTGATCTCAAGTTGATGAGAAATCAGGGCTGCCTACTTTAAAATAGTTTAACATTTTTAAGCTTTGCAAAATGCGTTTACAGACGCTGGATTTGGGCTGCAACAAACCAGCTTGGAGCAAAGTATTAAACAGCACCGAAACGCCGACGCTTTCAAACAAATCTGAGAACTTTCCATCTAGATAGAATGCTTTGGTGAAAATTCCTTAGATAGAATATACTTTCGCCTGTCTTGAACCTTTTGTCTAAATCCTTACTAATATAATTAAGGGTAATAGTAAATTTGTTTGTTTATTGCGGTTTCAAGCCTTCCTTTCTCAACCGATTATCATGAAATTTCGGTAATACGTTTACGTAGGTGCGTAGGGATAACGTTTAACGTACCTGTAATCCCGAAAAAAGTATTTCCAAGGCATAGTGAGCTTAACTGCGGACGAAATCTAGTCTACAATAAAAATACAGCAACTTCACTATTAAAAGTGACAATAAAATTAAGTCAAATCGTCGTTCTGTATAATTGAGCAGTAATGCCGAGTAATCTCAGTACGGAGTATTAAGTCCAAAGGTCAAAATCTGGATTAAGGCGTCGAGATAAATTATGAAGAGCTGTTAAAAGCTTTTAGGCGTGGATGCAAATGTTTGAGATAACAGTCGACTTTTAATATATTTTTTGGGTTTTAAATGGTGACGAACCTTTGTTTCATTAGCTTTATATGCTTTCAAAACAACGGGGTCGGTATAATATTTTCTTTGTGCACAACAGCAAACAAGCTAACTGTGCCTGTGTTTGTACAAAACTAAGATTAGTAGTAATATCCCTAGTACGGAGTTTTCTTGACTCATCAAAAAGCTACCCGTTTTATAATAAACTACTCGTTTCACTGCTCCGCCCCTAGTGGTTGTAGTGTACCCTATAATATTCTTCAGTGAATACTCTTTCCGTTATAAAAAAATTCGAATCCGATTGATCATATATATATTAGCGCGTTGAAACAGACAAGAAAATTCTTTTGTTTTTTAAAAAAGTTTTTTATATTAATATGAAAGAATGTATACTACTACGGCAAATCTTGCCTGATACGGGTTACATGATAGCAAAAGATCATGTTTGCTGCACCATGTTTTTACACTTTTTGAGGAGTAAACTCTATATCTCTATATCGACTTATGATGTAAATAAAAACTGGTTACTACCAAATGTGTTTTAAATATTACATAAGTTATAGGGAGTGGCGTAAATTTGAGCTCTGGCTAGTTGCACTGCAAAATTACGACAAAGAACATTTCTAGACGCGGTGAACCATAGCGCAATGCTACATAGTAATTGGACATGATTGTCATTCAGTCATTTGCATTGAATAATTGCAAACTATTTTATATGATAACAGTTACAGCACGAAACGGACGTTATACTAGAATGTATAAAACTTTTTTTTACAAAACTATAGCATATCAGGGCAATTCTAAAATATTTTTAACACTTGCAAGCAAATTTAAAGTAACACAGGTAATGACAGACTTATCATGCTGAGTTTAAAAAAGGGCACCACTTAAATGGCTTTTGTAGAGCAAGTTTCAAACGTCAATTGAATAAGGAACACCAATAACATCAGGCCCCAAGTTACAAAATTATTGAAAAAAATAAGTATGTCGCATCACTGAGGCATGTAGCAGACTGTACGAGTATGTACAGTCTGCTACATGCATTCATTGCTCTGCTGTCCGTCACACTGTCTAGTACAAATATTTGATACGCCGATTATATGATAATTTAATACGTCGTTCTCATTATAACACGTCCTCACCTCATACAAGAACACAATTAATTCAATGCTCTTAGAAATGTTTGTTGGTACTTTAGTAACACAAAAGAGGCACATATTTAAGTTGCCCAATGCCTTATACATTAACTTATGTGTGACTGCCAGGGAGTATGATTATTTTGTTTATAAAGATCAAAAATTAAAATGGGCAACAGTATGACATAATTGCAATTAAAGTTAGCGCCATGACTGGCGTGGTTAAACCTTCACCGCGCTAACATTCGTTTTGCTCGTTCGCCAATTTTAGGAGTTTTTTTTCTTATATGAGAGAATTATTTGTAGGATGTAAAATGAAAAAAGAATTGTTTTGTTTGTAAAGTCTATAGTGAGTCAATAAACAGCAATGGCTAAGATGTCGGACGAATCAGTGTGTATTTGAAGATTGATTATAACTTGAGACACCTCACACACGGATCTCAGATTCCAAACTAGACAAAGTCTGTTCTATGGTGCAAAGATTTCTGATATATATATATATATATATATATCCATAAATCCAAACATAGTAAAAACTACGGTTCGCATAATTATATAATTTTCATAATCATAGACAAAAATGTAGTACCACAGGTATGTATATATTAATATGTACCTTTGTATTCCTGAAATGGTATATAAAAGTAAGTAACATAATCTTTATAAATATTGTGGCTTTGAAGCAAATTTTTTGCGACAAAGCCTTTAAATAAATACGGGTGTTGACCGGAAAAACTTGTACAAAAACGTAATAATCTAGTAGGCGATCGGGAAAGGTATTCCGAATTTAAATATTCATTTAGGAAAAATATTACGAACACACGTAGTGTACACCGGTACACACGTAGGTATACTAATATTTTTAGACATTGTAGAGAGAAGCGTTTATCATAATTTGCCAGTGGACTTTAGGCAACAACAGTATAATAAAAGAATATTAATATGTTATGCATTGATTTACAACATAAAAGAAAAATAAACGCAGTGTACACCAAGATTATCATAAGATCTCCTAACGCGTGAAATAGCCAACAGCAATAGCTCTTGCTTTTTTCTAAGCTCTATTCAAATCACAAAAAGATTTTTAATTCTTTAAAAAAAAAGTTTAGCCTTACTTACCCAAAGTAAAGTGATTCTCATTAAAAAATAAACAACTAAGTAAATTAACTACTAACGTTTTTAAAGTTCTCTGGAATTGTTGAAGTATTTAATATCAGTCAAACATTTTACAGTGGAGACATTCGAGCATTTTTAATCTATTAAATTATTTACGCTAACAGAATACATATTTAAACGTATTCATTCAGTCATATGTTCTGTCTAAAGAGGGTTTCAATCATGTATATATCCCCATTGGAAAAAACGTTAAAGTTACATCACCAAGTAAAGCGTAAAACTTAGTTGTATTTAATACATTTACACGTACATTCTATTTCGAATTCTCAAAGGACAAACGTGTCAGCACTGAGTGGATTTTGTGTAACTTGTGTTGGCAGAGATTTCAACCCACGGTTGTCCTATATCAATGTATTTAAAAAAAAAAGCTGGTGAGATATTACACGAGATTTTACTAAAAATAAAATAAAGACAACTGGATGCAAAGGCCGTGTCCGAAACAAACAATAAAAATATGATGTAAATATGCAAATAGTAAAGTATGAAAAAAGTTCTGAACTTTCTGGTCTGTTTTAATAAGTACAGAAGCATGGCTGTACAACCAAAGAGCGTGTCGTTTATTTTTCTTTGTGTTCCTTTATTTCATTAGAGGGTGTAGATAACACAGACCTTAACACTAGTTAAACGAGACGTTAAACGAGACGACGCGTTTCTCAAGACGAGGGTAGAGTTCGTTTGGACAAAAAATAAGTATAATATGTTAAATTAGCAAAATGTTATCCCTGTAATCATATACAAAATCCTTCTGCAAGACCTGTACCTAATCTTGAAAAATGAAGTATGTTTAATGGCAATTTTAAATAGCTAACTAAGTTTGTACTCTCTTGTCTGGTAAAATATGTGTTACACTCGTAATTTCAGTGCTCTGTGAACTGTGTAAACCTATAATAAGATGTTGGTACCTATACTGATTAACACATAATAGTAACTCACCAGACCAAACGAGTCCAGTAGTATGATACTGCTTGACGTAAGCTTGGAGGTCAGAGAGTAGCTGCACCCAAGCGCGGCACCACTCAACGTGTTGCTTGTCTTTCTCCTTCCACTCCTTGAGAACTCGGTTCGTATAGAACTGCCCTGCGTCGTTCATTTCCTTAACATAGGGAGCAGGTGTCGGAGCCACAGCCACCCAACCAAGAGCTGGGATGCTCTCAGATATAGCCGACAAGTGATTGAATAAAGATGAAGCGCGATTCTTCTCTCGGAACTGTTGAATAGCAGAAATCTGTTCGCTAGTAGGTGCGAGAAGCTTCATCTCTTCAGGTTGCGATGGCTTACTTCTTGTTGTAGCCAACTGAATGTAGCGGAGTTGTGCCCTAATAATGAGACACAAATATCATTATTCAACAGCTCAAAACAAAACAATAAACGCATGTTGAAATAGACAAAATTTACTAAAAAAATCCCTTTTTCATATGGCTTGCAAAAATCTGTTTTATCTCGGTTTAAAAATCTTATTAGATTTATCACTATTTTTTTTTCAATATGAAACATTATAAGCAACATGTGAACCTACTCTAAACCTTGACAGTATTTTTAAGTTGTAAGGGGTTTTATAGCCAGAATTCTGTGCAATAATCTATTCAAATAAATAAAATTGAAGTGTCTGTTACCAAAATAATAGATTTTTTCTATACTCACACGGTGCTAAATATTTTTTGTCTATCTGTCTGTTTGTTCCGGGTAATCTTTAAAACGGCTGGACCGATTTTGATAATATTTTACTACCAGGCCTGGTATATATATATCACATATATATAAGGGGTAACTTAGGCTATTTTTCCTTTCAGAACAACCCTTTAATTTTTTTTCCTATTCGGGAATTGAACCCGCGGCCTCATGGATGGCAGTGGTAAGGACCCGTACTATACCATTAAGGCTTTTCAAATTCTACGCGAACAAAGTCGTGGGTACCAGCTAATGGGTAGTATAAATAGATGTAGATCTTACTGGAAGGCCGCGTTGACGAGGTTGGCATGAGTCGCAACGTCGCCGCCGATCTTCTGTGACAGTTGCAGGTAGACTTGAAGCGGACCCTGCCGAAAGAAACATATTTTAAAACTACCTGTGATTAAAAGCAAGACTTTTCTTTGACTAGTGTAGTTGTCTTATCAAGATTGGTATTCATTGTTTATGTATTAGATTGTATATCATCATATCATACTATATTTACGCTCTTCAGTATTTTTTTGAAAAGAAATTTTCAGAAAACTAACATTTTAAAAAACTAACGAAGTAAATACATAAATATCCAATACTGATTAATGACCGACCATTGGCCTTATAACGATATTAACTACTGTTACTGATATGTATTTACTTTCTAATAAAAAAATATTGAAAACGTGGATAGGTTTCACGAAAGATTAATTTACCGTTCATTGTCAGCGACAATTTATTTACATTTATAATTTATTATAATTTAACGTTTTCTCTTATTCTACCACATTCACACAACGCCACCTAGTCCTAAACTAAGCAGAGCCTGTACTATGGGTACTAGACAACTGATATAAATGCATATATACTTTTTTTTGTAAATACAGACATATGTTTTACATAGAAACACCCAGACCAAATCATACATTAAATGTTCATGCACACAAATGTTTGACTTGAGCGGGAATCAAACCCGCGACCTTTGGAATAGCAGTCTGTTACCACAACGCCATCCGGTCGTCATTATATTATATTGCTACTTTTTTGAAAGCAGGTCGATAAACTCAACAAGTGTAAGTTGTGATAATAATGCTACAACCTGGATTCAAAGTCATGAAAACGTACATGCCGATATGCGTGTTATTTTTTTAGATTTTTTTTAGATCAAAGACAGGAATTTCATATCGATTATTGAAAAAAATGTGACCCTTTTTAAATCGACTTTGGACAACGGCCTTGTGGGGCATTAGTCATATAAAGGTTACAGATCTCTCTGTTGATAATCTTAGGTGACTTAACCACTGTAGGTACCTGCAGGATTCCGTGGAATTAATTTCTTTTAAGTAATTGTAAGGTAATCAATTCCATTTCTAACGAATCACGTACATTTACAATTATAACGTACATTTATCATAATTAAGTGAATTAAGTCTGGTTTTTGACATATTTATTGATTTTAAAATTTATAGTGAAAACACAAAACCCTTGTTCTAATATTATAGTGTGATATCATGTACTAATGAACAATGTTCAGCTCATTAAACCATACTGGTTAAACTTTATCCCCAAGAGTAAACACGTTGAATGAACTTGAAAATTGACTGCACGGATGGCGTAGTGGTTTAAGCGGTCGCCACGCCGCTTCCTACGTCCACATGGGACGACACTTTGTGTAATCCACAAATTGTTATTCTGAGTCTCGGTGTTCTTTGTGTCCGTTTCATGTGTGTTTGTAAAGTCCCCCGCGACCCAGTAATATATTCCTAATGCGGGAGTTGTCTTAAAAAAAAGAACAGCAATTTTCTAAAGTTATATGTATATAGGTGAAATAACTCAGAATACATATAAATTTTTTAGCAATAACTTTGAAAAGATGAACATTACGAACAAAGTACATAACAAAAATGGTAATGTAATAATATAAATAATAATAATTTTTCCTTATAATGAAACCAATAAGGCAGCCGTCGGCTTTTGTGATGAAGACGGAATTTAGTTTGTTACATCATAGCAGCTAATATATTTTGTGTCCTTTGTGGAGAATTATGTGTAATATTGAACACAGAGTAAATATATATCACAATGTATACACCAAATTATATTGCGTTAAACGATATACCGTTAGAATTATAATAACATGATTTGAATTATATTAATTTCAAAAAAAAACGTTTGCTGTTTTTTCTTTTTAGGATTTGTAGCCGACGGCAGGGCTACATCACTCGTTCAGGGTCGCGCCCATATGCCTACTGGCAAGCGTACCGCCGACGGTACAAGTTGCCGATAAGGGGTGTAACATAAATACACATTTAACTTAAATATATAACAGTACGAGAAATATTTAAAACTAAAATTAACAAATACTATTAAATATACTTTTTTTACATACTTAATTTCGTCCCTTCCGAAATATCTTGTGACATTGAGTCACATGTTCTACAACCCTCAACACAAATTGGCGCACAGGAAAACTTTACCCTACACGACCTTCGGCGATTAATAAGTACCTACTTCATACAAATTTTGAGTACCGATACAAATTTATTAATAACTTGCTGCGTCCCACGCGGATTCGCTCGCGTAGAATTAACTAATCCAATTTCTTTTTTAAAATACTCCCTATGAAACCTGCTATCTTTCAGTAAAACTCCCCCGACAATCGGCCATCTCGTTCTAGAGAGACAGGCAGCTTTAAAACCTGATATATAAAAAGCTGATATTCTGTTTTTAATTTTAGTTTTTGAACGGCATTCACTTTAGAATAATTTTGAGACCTACCTTCAAGTTTTACTTCACAAAATTAAGCTCAAAAAAATAAGTCTTCACTCGTTGAATTTTATTTAATTGTTTAGGCAGCAATCATACTACTGTTTACGAATGTAAAAAACCTACCACTTGCAGTGTTTGTAAAAGGCGTTATCAGTCTCTGTCATATCCTATTGGTCCCGGCAGTAGCGGCAATGATGCGGTAATCAAGTCCGCATCAGAACTGTCTAATAATTTCCCATGTGATGAGCCCATAGTGTCATGCCTGTCTACCGGCACTGTGCGTAACGCTGTGCCCAAACCACGACAAGTTTTACGCAATCAAATCGTATATATATAGATGGCCATTCTGAATACATTGAGACCTCTCCACGTCTTAGAGAGCACGTTAGGCCGTCAGTCCCGGATGCCATACGAACATCTGTGGCAAATGCGGCAAAGTTTAGCCGGGTTGTAGTGGATTATTAGCCGACCCCAACCTAGTTTGGGAAAAGGCTCGGAGACCAATATTAATTGAAAAAAACCTGAAATTTTTCTACGTGAAAAAAAGACACAAACAACTACCGACTGTGAATGAAGATTCATATGAAGACATAAATAAAATGTGAATGTTTTAGCTATCAAGAACTCTCAATAAATAAAGTAAACTTATTCCGTTCTTTTCAATTCTGAACTTTTGCTTGCTCTCATTAAGCTTGGTCTGTTATAACCGGCATTAGCAGCATGTAAAATTAGTTTTTGTTTGTGGATTAAAATTAAATCTTGTTAGTCGTAATTAAGAGCACACCTTAATTAAACGATCAAATGAAGACATTAATTACGATTTTTCGGTCTCCAAAACCAACCTTGTTTTGGTCCTTGGTCTTAAACCTTGTTTTCTGTAATTTAACTTAGTTACTTGGGTCTAGTTATATTTTAGGATTTTCCACAAAAAACCTTTTTTTTTTACCTTCTTTTCTTAACTTTAATGTTCGAAAAAACTATGAAAACACTAAATCAAATAAAAAATAGAATCTTAAACTTGAGATTACGAATATATTAAAATGATCATATTAATCTATTTGGATATGTTAGAATTTCTTTGTTTGGTTGGTCTGTATTTTGCCACTATCTGTGGGGCATGTGCTTACGTCAATAACAACCTTCATAACTCAATTCAGACAAATGCCTTCAAAGAAAGTAAATAAAAAAAAACAATTTTCCATCCATAGCAAAGTACCTGAAGGAGCAAACAAGGCAAAGGCTTTTACTAGGGAGGCACCACTGGTTACTTTATGAAATAAATTATTTGATGCTAATAATATGTACAAGAAAAATGGCAAAACACACTTTTAGTAATTCTCATAATGATCCAAATTTTGAAACCTTTTTACATTGTATTCCGTTCATAGCAATTCGCTCATGTTAATTCTGAATGTTTTTTGCTGTCATAACATAAACAGGATCATTAATTCCGCGAAAGGTATAAAATGAATGCACGGTCACTGCACGTAAAGATCTTAAGCGGATTATATTGTAGCATTTCGTTACAATATGACTTGCAGTCTTGCATAAAGCTTCTATCGCTATAAACAGTAATAGCTTGATCAACTGTAAATGTCGTGACTTCATCATTTTTCATGTAAAATGTTCCCAAGACGAAACCATATAGCTCGCACTGTCAAAAAGTTATCAGATCTCATGTAGACCCAGACTGATAAGCTTATAACTCTACACGCCATAACTCTACAAGCCCCAACTTCAAAAACTCTCCACCTTAGTCAAAATAATATAACAAACGCAATAATATTACATAATAATATTACCTGTACAATGTCCTGGTAGCCGTTAACACTCATGTTGTCAGTTAGTTCGAACTGCGGCGGTGCAGGAGGTGGTGTTGGCGCAGAAACTGGTGATGGCGCAGGCGAGCGTGGCGGAGTTAGCGACCGTGCGCGCAGCAACGGTAGTAATTCCAACCGCGAGGTGACGCTCTCCAGACGCTCGATCAAAGCCTCGAACTCGGAAGCCGGGCTCTGAATCACCCGCTCAGCCTCGTTGCCTGACAACATACAGGAAAAACATTAACAATATGCTAAACGTAATAACAATTTACAAGTAGGAAGGAAGTTATGTATAATTTGTGTCTATTTTTAGTCTTTACAATAATTTATAAATTATGTTATACTGCATGAGCTGGTAATTTGTGTACGGTAAAATTTTCTAATTCACGATTTTTATATCAGTGTTTTCACGATTCGTGGGTTAAAAATTGCCACCAATTCCCGTTACATATAAATTTTCTTTTTTTCTGAATCTAGACGGTATGTTTTATTGATTTGGTATCCACTGTTAACGCGTCGGCGTCTTTTGGATATATAATGATGGAGTGTACCGAAGCAGCTTTTTCAAAGAGAGGAAACCGAATGAGCTAATCTCAAAGTAAAACATAACCTATTGACACTACATGTTTGCTACTGCCGAGCGCTGCCTTTATTACAATTGTCCTTTTTGATAAAAGCCGCCTTCGCCACAGTCTGCGTTTTATTACTTCAACTTGGCAGTGTTGTAATAGGTATGATATAATCACGCTTGCTTTGTTCTTAATTTATAATGTCGAGTCAATCATTTAAAAATATTAATAAAAACTGTATTATTTAATTTGTTGTTATTTATTTTGGAACCGTGAATCGCATCTCCTATAATTCTATATAAATAACCATTATAATTTCACGGTCTCTGTATTCTCTGTATTCGCGCTACATTTATAGAACATAACAAAAAAACATAACCAACGCGAATAATGAACTTTAACGGTATAATAATATATATGATACATAATGACATAGGTATCTCAGCCATAATTATTTATTTATTTATTTATTTATTTATTTATCTTTATGCACTTTTGTACATCGGCGGACTTAATGCCCAGGGCATTCTCTTCCAGTCAACCTTTGGGTGATGTAGAAATCTTGTAAGGTAGGTGCACAGAGGTTACATCATAATATCAAATGTACAATGAAAATATATACGGTTCACTACATATATAAACATATACACACATACTACACTTACACATCATAAATACGCATAGATACATATACATATATATACAAGTATATTTATATAGATACATAGATAATTACATGGTAAATAATTTGTACTTAGTTCTCAGGTGAAAATTTCCTCTTACTTTTAATTAGACAAAACTGGAGTTCTACCAATTCAACTAAAGATAATTATTGTACATATAACAATAAAACAGTCGTATAAAGATGATTTATCATTTGCTCATAATATAATCATCACAATATATCATGTCTCGTAGATACGTAATGAGTCTTAATAATCGTAAGACATCTAAACAAGTATAATAATAGAACATAATTTTCATTCATTCACTTCAGTAATCATATATTTATACGTATTAGTCATCGTTGCTCATGCACAAGATAAACCACGCCCTGTCAGAATATTTCCACAAATTCTAAGAACACTAGATACAGAATCATCGAGCACAATTAAGTAATGTGGAATTATACGTTATATCCATGTCCTTAGTTAAATCGGCTAACCATGTATAACGGATCAAATGTTTATTCAAATTGGATACAGCGTCGTTTCGGTAGACACTTAATCGCAAATCGTTGATCCCCTAAAGTCTTGTCTCAATCAATCTTGTCGACCATGGGCCTTATAGAACAGATAAATTAAACGAGCGCTCTATTTGTTCTCTAAGTAGGTATAAATGGAGTTTAATAATCTGGAACTTCGTGTATGTACATATGTAAATTACAGAATGACAAACCAAGTTTGATTAACATTACTTATAAGTAAGACAGTACACAATAAATCAATTTAATAGGATCAATTGACTAATAGATTGTGAAAAAATAAATAATTGAAAATAGTAATACCTAACGCTAGATTGTAGGCCTCTTGAGTTTCTTGCACTATTGCTTGAATTTCTGCGTTATCCTGTACCTCTTCAGTATTAACGCGCGATTCGAACATCTTGATAAGATGTTTCATGTTTTTTCGCACTTTAGGATCCATTTTTTTATTTACTTGACGATGTAAGTCACTGTGCTGGCGCTATGCACAACTAAACTAAACTACTTTTAAAATGTTACAGTTTATTAGTTGAACCTACTAAATTACTAGTTGAGCGCTTGCTATCGACTGACTCACTAAGATACGATATGATAACAATACGTCTATAAAGAACCATAATCATACAAATTATAAGTAGTACGATAAAGGCTGGGTGATATCTCGCAAGTATGAAAACATGTATTTTATAACAACCATTATATAATAATATAACATATATTTTTACTCCTAAATATATCCCTTGGTTCGGCTTTCAGTCTATTGGTTCAAACAGAAATTTTAACTCTTATTAAGAGATGGAATGTCATAGACTATTTGAACACCAGTGTCCATTTATAAGTGATCATCACATATCCCTGGACCGTCGCCATCGTAACGTTATGGAAGCAAACCGATCGATTGTACCAGTCTGATGTAAAAGGATAGGTAACCATGACAACAAATATTTTGCTAGTGTGCAAGCAAGCGGGTAACGATTATCCGAGATGAATGTTTGATGAGTTTATATATCTCGCAAGACCCGCATGATTCTTAGAAACATGTACAAGTTTGGTATATCTCCATAAACTGTCACTCATGCCTTGTTAACCGAAACAACTGGCAACTAAACAATGTTATCGTTGTAAAGCTTTATGGAATTAGGATGAAAACATATATAGGGGAAGGTGTTGTACCTATGAACGGTTTTACCTGTGGACATCATTGATATTTCAAAAAATAAACACAGAAATTTAACGAATTGAACGCATCCGTAAAGTATTTTTGATGTGTGGCAACGTTGACTTGCTGCCATTTTGTATCCTTTGTTGTGTGACCGGTGACAGACCGTTAAGGGTTTTCGCTCAAAAAAGTAAGTATTTGTCTCTTTTTCGTCCTATTTTTTTGTGAACATATGCAGAATATAGATGATTATTTTTAGTCATACTGTAGTACATGTAGTTAACAATCCATTTACATCGGTATAACGGTGTAAACTAGTACCTATCATGCCGGTAATAGATTTTTAGGTTGTATTGTCTGATTTGTACCTGTGGACATCGAAGTGTATGTACCTATGGACTGTCCACAGGTACAAATTTTTTTTCATTTTTCAGTGTCTCGACGGAAAAACGCGCCGTAGGTTGTGTTCAGAGACGTTATCTGAGGCAATTAAAGAGGCAATTAGTGGATGTTCATTGCGAAAAGATGCAGAAAAATATAAAATACCAAAATCTACGATATTTAAATACCTTCACATGAATAAGGAGAATGATCTGAGCGAGAACAGGGTAGTTATTTTGAGAAATGACGTGAAGAAAGTATTTGATGAGGAAGAAGAAAAACAGCTTGCAGAATATTTAGATAAAAATAAAAATTCAATCTGCAGAAAAAAGCTTCACAATTCTTCAAGATGACCAGTTACCCTAAGCCATGTGTATGGGATGTAAAAGACATGAAAATGTTTACAAACTGCTCAATTGCTCTCAATGCGATTTGAAATATCACCAGAAATGTGTATCAAGATCACATTTAGATAATTTTGAATCAGATGATGAGTCAGACTTCTTATATCAAAAGTGTTATATTTTAGATGATGGTGATTCAGATGCCTCTGATGATTCTGCCTTAGAACTATATCAAAATTATTTAGATGCCAAAACCAAAAAGAATAATTGATTCTTTAATGTTAAAGTTGATTTATAAAGATATTCTATTTATTTTTGCTGATTTTTATAGGATTATTATGTAAGGATAAGTGATCTGTCCATAGGTACATTGCCGTCCATAGGTACAAGTATTTCTGTCCAGAGGTACAATCATAAGATGTACCTGTGGACAAATTTAGTGATTTAAAAAAAACTGGTTTATTTTAATCAACATAATTCGTACAAAACTAGACTGCTAATTTTTAAGTGTTAACTAATCCTGGAACAACATTTGTAATACTTTACGGCTAATAAATAAAAATTAAAATTTTAAACCATATTTTCATTCAAAATCCGGCAAATGTCCACAGGTATAACACCTTCCCATATATGTAATCATGCTTCTAATACAAAAAATACAACTCAAATTCCAGCTTTACTTGTATTTTACCCGATAACGAAGTCAACAAAATTGTACTGTGTTTCATGCTGGATGTTGGCGACAAGCCAGAAAACGATCTATATTAGCTAGAAATGTGGTCGCATAATTTAAAAATGTTTTTTGTTATAGTTTTGAACAATGCAAACAATATCGGATTATTTTTACATTAAAGCTCTATGCAAATTCTAAGACAGTACAAAAACATTAATCTTTAAATAAAAGGAAAAATCAATAGCGTCCCGGTCTCGATTTATTTCTTGTTCCACCGAATACTGATAACGCCCTCCCTTACAAAATCATTCTGTATGGATTTAACAAAACTTTTTAAAAATTGAAATTTAAAATATATATACCGTTTATTACGACTTATATTAGACTTTGTCAGGTCGTAGGTTCAGCAAGGTGAAAAGCAGTTAGTAGTCTCATTTTCCATTCGAGAATTGCCATATCCCTTAACTCCGTTACCCTATTCGTTTTCTTTACCCAAATTTACATTCTCGACTGAAAATGATTATATTATGAGGAGAGGCTATAAAATAAACCAAGCTTTTTTTATGTTAGAGGGGGCAGACGAGCAGACGGGTCACCTGATGGAAAGTGAAAATCGCCGCCCATGAACCTCTGCAACTCAGTAGTCACGCTTAACCCTTGGCAAAGTTCCACATTGCTCTAACCCCAAATAAAATCGAAAAAAGGGCAGGAAAATTTTGATAGTAACTATAATCTATTTTTATTCTGAGGCCAGCGATCCATACTCTCACACACAATTGACTATTTAGACACGCCTCTCTTATTTAAAATTAATAATAAATATACGATGACAAAAAAAAAATTAAAAGGTCTCGTTTGAAAAAATACTATGTTATTAGGAATTTGAAACCTATTCATATGAAAAGCTGACCACAGCGGCAGCACTTGTTCTTACTATGCTACACGGTAGATTAATTCTTTATGATTAAGATGAGTAAAAATAAAAAAAACATTTTTGCTCGTTCGTATTTTATGCGTTTATGTTTATACAGTTGATCTGATTTTTTTTAACATTTTGTACGTTGCATTGATGGATTTAGAAATATATAAGTATGTTTATCAGGAGAATGGTTACCACTGTACAGGCTCTGCCTAGTTTATGATCAGACGGGGCCATGTGTGAGTATGTTTTTTCCATGAACGCCATGTACAATCAAAAGGTAAAAACATTACATTTACGCGAGCAAAGGCGCAGGTTAAAGCTAGTAGTACATAGATATCAAGTATTTTAATGTCAAACGTGGAATGAAATACATATTAATAAGTTGATGTAAAGTTTTTCTGCAACGTAGCACCGTATTGTAGAAACGTGGCCACTTAATGTAACTATATGACATACAATGAGGTCAAGTAATTTTGCTACGAATCTTTTGAAGTGCAATAAATATAATTTAAAGAATTTCCGTATTATTTAATACAGTAATTTCTTTCTAAAAAACGCATTGAAGCTTTACTTGCATATTGAGTCATGGTATAAAATTACTCACTGGCCTTAACACACTTTCCATAGCGGTTAAAAAAGGTGTTACACGCTACATACCATGTTTTATATACACAAGGAATATAGGTCTCGGTTTCCATCATTGAGTACTAACGTCGCGACGCCCAATCAGCTCATTCAGAAATAAGTACAATTTGTTAATTGTAAAGCTTTTTTAGCAATTCATAGGCGTTTTTAACCACATACGATACATACTCTCGTATAACTATTGCATTACACAGAATTGTAAACAAGTATGAGCTAATATGTGGCCGAGGCATACGCGTCGAAGTAGGATCACGTTCGAACATAAAAATAATTCTGACGAGTTGCACATTGATAATAACGCGTCAAAAGAGGTGAAACACTCTTTCATAATGTTGTTGTCACATGTTTTTAGTATTGTTGACAAACATTCACAAAATATTAAGTATGTAATCGAAGAGAGGAGGTAATCTTCTCTACTCTCTACTAAGCTACCTAACAATGAAATGTGAAAAAGGTAGGTTTATCTACTACAATTATAAATGTTGTTTAAGATTCATAATAAAAAATCCTCTGTGCTGAATTAGGGTAGAACTTTGTACTCGTCTGTTTATAAAATATGATTATGGTGTCTGTGTAAACAACCGTCAAGAGGATTCGAACAGAATACATTTGATAACAGTTCTAACTACATGTTCTTAGTTCTTACTATATGTGTATGGTTATTTATTTCACTCGATCGACTCATTGCATAGAGTAAAAATCATATGCGGGTAACTTAGGTTTTAAGTTGTTATGGGACAAAATCAAAGATTGTATGGATAATATACATATAAAAAATTGTGTACATTCATCATAACATTTAGTTTAAAAGTATTGTAGGAGTATCAAAAAATATTGTGCATTGAGCCTTGGGAAACACATAATATATTTCAGTGTATAACTACGTACGCTTTGTGAAATAGTAAATTGATTATTCTCCATTTAATTTACACAGGTTCAATAATTATAATGAAAGAGAAAATTACATGAAATATTTGATAATGCTACCATCATGACGTCAACGGTTCTTGATCTTGTTCTCAAAAAGTGTACATCGAGCGTGGGGTACATCCGACGCTCATTAAAAATAAATTAAAAAGAAATGTCGACGCTACAAGAATTATAATTTGCGTCGTTAGGTAGCCATTACATTAGCTAAGTACGAGATGTTTGACGTTCTTATTTAAGGCTAAGTTGAACTAAAACTCGATTTTCGAAAATTTAAAGCAAAATTGATGATTTCCTTAGATTTTCAATAATTTGTTTAGTTTTTTACAACACTATAATCCTTAGGAGTAGTGACGATTAATGCGAGTGAAACCGCCAAGAACGGTTCTGT